ATGTAAAACATCCCGATGACAGTATAGCTGATATTTTGCCTGCTAGCTGAATCGCCTCTTCTTTAGACGACGCTCCAAATAATAGATCGTCAACGTACATACATCTGCGTATGATGTCGGCTGCCTTGGGATATGATGCCTGATTTTCCTCGGCTAGACTGAATATGCATCTGATTGCCAGAAACGAGCTTCAAGCCATCCTGTACGTAACGGTATTTAATGAGTAGGTGTCTGTGGGATCCGATGAGCTTTTCTTCATAATATACGCTGAAAGGATCGTTGTGATTGTTCTATCATTACTTGTCGATACATCATTGCGATGTCGGCTCCTATAATGTAAGGGTGTATCCTGAAAGGATCCTACAGGAGGATGGACATAAGATCCCGTTGGATGGTGGGTCCGATCATTTGTAAATCGTTAATCGATACTCCTGTTGAAGTCGGAGCAGAGGCGTCGAAAACAACGCGCAACTTAGTCGTGAGGCTGTTCTCCTTCCATACCCCATGATGGGGTAGATAGTACGCTTGGGATGTAAGACCGTTATCAATAATTTTCGTCATGTGCCCTAAATCTCGATACTTTCGCAGAAACGCTACGTATTCGTCGCGCATCTTCTTGTCTGCTTGCAACCTCCTCTCCAGCGATTTCAAGCGTCGCTCGGCCATCTCTCTTGACTCGCCTAAGCTTCCCGCCGTTGTTTGGAATGGTATAGACACGATGAATCTACCGACCTTGTCTCGTTTAGTCGTATCCTTGAAATGCGATTCACACATGTTCTCTTCCAGTGACAATTGAGCCTGGATGGCAAGCTCTTCGGTTTTCCAAAATTGTTCTAGTAATTGCGATATCTCATTGGTACTGGTTGCTAAATTGCATGAGAATGCTGCTTCTGAAAAGCCTCGTTATGGAAGTTTACCTGTTACCACGTATTTTAGTTTTATTTTGAATAAATGCGGATGTCTTGTAGACTCGTAATATATTAAGTCCCAGAAAAGGTCGACACTAGGTGATCAATAAGTCAATCTTCTTGGGTTCGTAAAACTTGGGGTCTGCAAGCGGTACGTCGATGGGATATTCGCGTTTTTTATATTTAGCGATTCGTTTGGCAAGCTGGCTGTGATCTTTGGTATCACCATGAACTTGAGTTCTTCTTTATAATCATTGTGTAACGATCCGATAGTCGCATTAGTAATTTCCGAAATCTTAGTGTGCGTCTGATTGACACCAGTGACTGCGACATTGACTCTAGTGGTGCGAAAACC